ATGTAGAATATTACATAATATTGTGTTCATGAGAAGCAGCTTCACCAACACTGATTAAACACCAACCAGAAGTGAACATAAAACGTGTTTCTCTTTTTTCCCAGGTTTACTCTAGACTCTAGAAGCCGTGGAGCAGCTCTGAGCAGCTGTACCTGTGTCTGTGAAAGTTTTTGGTAGTTCATCAGTGAGAATTCTGGAGGCAGAACGAGATATTCATGGTAATTCCAGAGGCCTGACTTTAAACTCTCTCTCAGCCTGTTCACATCCCTCTCTGACTAAATCTGAGGCTGGCGGAAGGCGGTGGTGTTGGTATGGGTGACAATTCTGTTGCCATGGCAACAAGCCGTGGAAGGGTATTGGTTCCGATTTTGTTCCGTCTCCAGCTCAGAGTGCAGCACGGACGGGGAAACGGAAAAGAATAGTTCTGTCAACCGCGCCAAACACACACACACACACTTGGAGCATCATTAATCAGTTAGCGCTTGGTCTGTGGGGTAAAGCTGCGGGCAGAACAGGGCTAATGCATGTCATGTGGGCCGTAGAGATCACTGTCGTGAGAGTTCAGTGAGATGGGTCCATTAATCCTGACACACGAACGTCTCACATACAGTTTCATCTCTGTAAACCCCACAAGATGCTTGTGGCGGGAATGAGGAGAAGGCAGATGTGCGAGTGGCTCGTGATGGGCTCGTGTGTGCTCGATCCTCCAGCAAGAGCATAAGAGGATCTGGGATATTCCTACTGTCGCATGTTTGTAATCCTACAAGCACCGTCCATGAAACCACATTGGTCGTGCCAAACCTGTGTGGAATGCCACATGACAAACTATGAGCAATTAAACCAATATAAAGTGCATTTTCTGTGCCGACAGCAGAACCAAACAGAATAGTACAGATGACTATATTTTTTATTTTTTACAGGAAAGAAAAAGTGTCTCCACAATGCTAAGGTGTTCTGAGTGGTTGCTAGGGCACTGCTAAGGTATCCTAGGTGGTTGCTAGGACATTGCTAAGGTATTTTGGGTGGTTGTTAGGGCGTTGCTATGGTTATGTGAATGTGTTAGTGTTCTAGGCAGTTTCTAGGCCTTTACTAATGAGATCTGGGTGGTTGCTAAGGCATTGCTAGGCTTTACTAAGGTGGTCTGGGTGGTTGCTAGGGCATTGCTAAGATGTTCTGGGTGGTTGCTAGGGCATTGCTAAGGTGTTCTGGGTGGTTGCTAGGGCATTGCTAAGTCAAGTCAAATGTTTAACTAGCACTTTATACAATACATATTGATTCAAAGCTGCTTCATAGTAATAAACAAGATGGACTTCTAGTTGGTTGCTAGGGTCTTCTGGGTGGTCGATAAAACATTGCTAAGTCAAGTCAAATGACATCTGACTATATAGTGCTTTATACATTATATACTGATTCAAAGCAGCTTTAATAAATAAAAAGGTGTTTTAGGTCGTTGCTAAGACATTTCTAATGTGTTCTGGGTGGTTGCTAGGGCGTTGTTAAGGTGTTCTGGATGTTTCTAGGACATTACTAAGTCAAGTCAGATGACATTTGATTATATAACGCTTTATACAATACATATTGATTCAAAGCAGTTTCACAGTAATAATACAGTGTTCTGGGTGGTTGCTAGGGCATTACTAAGGTGTTCTAGTTGGTTGCTAGGGTGTTTCTAAGTAAAGTGAAAACATTTATTTATATTGTACTTAATACCATACATACTGATTCAAAGCAGTTTCACAGTAATAAATAAGAAGGTGCTCTGGTTAGTTGTTAGAACATTACTAAGGTGTTCTGGGTGGCTGCTAAGGCTTTAAAGTATTCTGGTTAGTTGCTAGGGTGTTACTAAGCTATTCTGGGTGGGAGCAAGGGCATTGCTAAGGTGTTCTGAGTGGTTGCTAGGTGATTCCTTACAAAACCATCCTCAAGTCTCTGTGATGTTCTGATGACTAAATTTACTAAGGCATTCTTGGTGGATGCTAGGGTGTTGCCAGGGTGTTCTGGGTGGTTGCTAGGGCATTACTAAGGTATTCTGTTTGGTTTACAGGATGTTGCTAAGGTGTTTTGGGTGGTTGCTAGGGCATTGCTAAGGCATTCTGGGTGATTGCTAGGTGGTACCTTACTAAACCAGTCTCTGTGATGTTCTGGTGTCTAGATATGGCCTGGGTTCCTCCTTCAATGTCAGTCTGAAGTTTTCATCCGTTTTATCGTGCACTATGTGAGAAAGAATTTTAACATCCCAAAATATGTGGGTATGTATATGCGAGTGCATGTGCATTCTTGAGCAGATGTTTTGTTCTGTTGTGTGTGTGTGTGTGTGTGTGTGTGTGTGCACGCTCCAGAAACGACAGACCTTGAGCTCTGAGATGCTTTGATCCTCTGTGTTTCATCTCTGGCCTTAGATCAGTAGTCTAGCAGAGGGGAATTTACACACATGTACACACACACTTTTCATTTTTAAGTCTGCCTTTAAGTAGATTCAACCACATTACAAATTAAAAGTGGGGATGCCAATTGAACATGTTAATTTAGTTCATTTAGAGTGATTATAAAAAAAAAATAAATAAAAATAAAAAACCAAGACAATAAAAAATGCACGCATGTCGGATTCCACAATAAGGGATTTACTTACCATCTGAGAAATGTATATATATATATGAGCCGTCACGGAGCTCTAAATGCATATAAACACAGACTAACAATTCTTGCATGAACATTATCATTACTTAATGAATTCATCTGCACAAAAAAATCCTTCTCTCTCATCTGTTAAATATTCCTCTCACACTCTCGGCTCTGCCGAGAGGAAGAGGAGGATGCCGAAGACTTGACAGCTCCTCCGCATGGAACACAGACCACCGCGCAAACATCCCATCCTGCCTGAGAGGGAGGCAGACAGGAAACGCATCATAAACACTGTCAGGGCTCTTAATGATCATGAAGTTTGCTCTTGCGGTTTCTGGATTGTTGCGTGTCTGACCTGAGAGCCGAACTGCTGTGTTCTGCACACAAACACGGCCACAGCTTCTCCAGTGACAAGCTCTAATCTGATTGTCTGGTTTCACACAATTTCCGGGAGTCGGGAAGCACCGATTTATATCAGTCCGCCGGGAAACAAAGTCATGTTTATGAGTTCCCAATGTCATAATGAATACTTCTGTGGAAGAACTGGAAATTGACAAGGTGCAACAAATCTGAGAAAGATACTGACTGCAATAAAAGAAGCAGCCATATATATGGCTTTTACTTTTATTACAGTCGGTATCTTTCATAGATTTGGGATAGGTGGTTGCTAAGGTGTTCTGGCTGGTTGCTAGGATGTTACTAAGGCATTCTCTCTGGTTGCTAGGGCAGTCTTAAGCTGTTCTGTGCGGTTGCTAGAGCATTACAAAGGTGTTCTGGGTGATTGCTAGAGTGTCGCTTAGGTGTTTATGGTTGTTGTTAAGTTGTTGTAGGTGGTTGCTAAGGTGTTGTGGCTGGATGCAAGTGTGGTGGTATGGTGTTCTGTGTGGTTACTAGGGTGTTAATAAGGTGTTCTGGGTAGTTGTCATGGCGTTATTATTCTGGCTAGTTGCTAGGGTGTTACGAATTTGTTCTGGTTGGTTGCAAGGGTGTTGTTAAGGTGTTCTGGGTTCTTGCAAGGGTGTTGTATGAGGTTGCTAAGATGTTACTAAGGTATTTTGGCTGGTTGCAAGGGCGTGCTAATGTATTCAGTGTGGTTGCTGTGCATTAATAAGGCATTTTGGGTTGTTGCAGGTGTTGCTAAGGTGTTCTGGCTGGTTGCTATGGAATTACTATACTGGTTAGTTGCTAGGGAGGTACTAAGGTGTTTTGGCTAGTTAGAAGGGCATTACTAAGGTGTTCTGGCAGGTTGCAAGGATGTTACTAAGGTGTTCTACCTGGTTGCTAGGGCTGTCCTAAGGTGTTCTGGGTGGTTGATGTGGTGTTGCTGAGGTATTTTGAGGAGTAGCTAGGGTATTACTAATGTTTTCTGGGTGGTTGCCAGGGCGTTATGAAATGAAAACAAAGCTATGAGATGCACATTCTTTCAATAGTGTTGACTGAATCATTGAAAATAGGTCTATTAAATTGGACGTGGCCTAATTGGACGTGGCCTAAGTCTTTTTAAGGGATAGTTCACCTAAAAATGACAAATATGTCTTAATTTATGATATATGTTACATACACAAGGTTCCCTTTTAAAGCCTTTATTTTTAAGATGCACAAAACCCTAAATTATGAAACATACCTGCAATGATGATGCTGATGAAGATAATGTAATGATGACGATGATGGTTATGAAGATGACAATGAGGATGATGATGATGATGATGAAAACTTCCTGTTGGTTCTCATCCTTACTGAGCAGCTGATGCTGAAAAAGTCACAAAGATTTCTTAACAGAAGTCCATACCAGGGGTATTACAGTTAAAATCATAAAAAAAATCTTTTTGTGTTACTTGAAATAAAAAAAATGAACTGAAATAAAAGAAACTACCAAAAAAAAAAAAAGTAATAAATAGACTTATTTCAGCTAGTTGCCAAGGCAACATTTTTCATTTTTCATTTAGTTTAACTTGATGTATTAAAAGAACTAGAACTGGAATAAACATTCATAAAAAGGATACAGACTGTATTTACACACAACTAATTTTTTAAAACTTTTTTTTAGTTTTAGTTTTTTTTAAATATGTCTATATAGTTTTTTTATTAATACTTATTCAAGTTTTAGTTATTTTAGCACATCAATTTAAACTAAGTAAAAATGAGAAATGTTGCCTTGTCAATTAGCTGAAATAAAAGTGGTTTTATTTTATATTAGTTAAGATTTATTTTATATCAAGTAACAAACATGTTTTTATGTTTCCTGTTTCACACACTTCCCATTTTTAATTTGGTCTTCAAGTAGACGGGATGGTTTTACAAATTAAATCTCCAGTCGAAGGCCAAGTAAAATCGCACTCAATTTCTCCATGTTTTTCACCATTCATTCCTCCACTGACCTGCCGACCAACAGGAACTCTCCGACGAGGTTTTGTCGTCTCATGGCCATCAGGATGTTTCGTACGGTCATGCCCTCGCAGAAACACGCCACCACGCGAGCTTTGGGCAGATACTTGCGCAGTTTGGCCAGCAGACGGTCGAAGTTCTGCTCGCCGGCCAGATACTTGCGCAGTTTGGCCAGCAGACGGTCGAAGTTCTGCTCGCCGGCGTTACTCCAGATTTTATCAGAGTGAGCGATACAAATCCCTTCCTTTCCCGCCATCTCTTTAAACGCCTCCATCCCACTCTCACCATAGTTCCCTTGGAAAAAAACAGAGAGAAATAGATATCAGTCTTCAATTAACTAAAAACTAAAGAAATCAGTCATGAGTCATAGTATTATATTCCAAATTTTTGACACACTTTTGATACTCCAACTAATCTAATGTATATAGATATATATATATATACACACACATATATATACTGTATATATATATATATATATATATATATACACAAATCGCTAGAGAATACACTGAAAAAAATTTGGAGTAGAAACAATTTTCACTTAGAAATTGTACAAATAATTAACCCTAACCAACCAACCCATACATTCAGAGGGAAATGATTAAGTCATAAAAATGATTATGTTGCTTGCAAAAAAAAAAAAATTGTCACAGTTACTTTTGAACTGCTTTTAATGGAGAAAGATGCTTTTAAAGATGATTTTCAATAATTATGTGAACAGTGATGGCTTTGAAATGATTTTTATTTAAAAATTGCTAGTAAATTTTACAAATAATTACAAAGAAATAGCAAGTAACATAAAATTATACACAAAATTTTGAAAGACTGAAATTTTCTTATAAAATGTACTTCAATAATCTAAAAAAAATCTGAGTGAAATTTGTTTCTACACCATTTTTTCATTGTAGTTATTAAGATGATAACAGACTACTTTAGTTTTTATATAAGGTTAAATATAATAATACACTCTAAAAAAATGATTTTTCAAAGTTGTTACTGGGGCACGTTTTGCATTTAAATACTATTTCAGTCGTTCTACTTCAAATTTCACATTTAATTCAATGCGTTACTTGCCATTTCTTCGTAATTATTTGTAAAATTTACTAGCAATTTTTAAATAAAAATCATTTCAATGTAAATAAACCCTACATCATTTTTTTCAGTGTACAGACCAACTCAAACTAAATGTAGAAAAATATATTTAGCAATCTTTTTTTTCCACACATCTAGAGCAGATTTCATCTGTTTGCACAGAACGTTGTGTTACAGTGTGAAATACTGACATTGTGTCAGACTACAGCTGTATGGATTTAATAAAGTTTGCTGAGACAATATTGACTCTCTCTTCCAGTGTCTGTCTCGCTTTGTCTGATGGAGAACTTGAGGACGGAGAGGTGTAAACCAGGTAGTTTAATCTCACACATAAAATACACAGAGATCAACCACACACACTCATATCGACACATAAATGTAGCTGTGAAAGTGTCAGATGAGTGTGTGAGAGAATTGAGGTTCCTCAGAAAGGTTTCATCAGGTTCTGGTCCTGGTTGTTGTGGATACATGTAAAGTCTTGTAATTAGTCTCACAGTGAGAGTAGCAGACACGAACAGATGGCAAACACACACACACACACACACACACACACACTGTTGACATAAACACACAAACAGTCTCCGTTCATAAAGAGAACACCAGCCTTCACTTCCTGTCAAAGATCATTGAACAGAGATCATGAAACGACTCACAACTAAACATTTGATTAAAAACTAATGATCTCTATTTGCTGAGGACCCATAATGTCCTTCAGAACCATCACAGGGAGCTCAAAATAAAATAAAATAAAATAAAATAAAATAAAATAAAGTTAACATATACAGTGAAATATTATATTAAACAACAATAAATTATATTAAATATCTTAAATATATTATATTAAAATATCTACCAATGCAGTACATCTACTTTCATGGTAAACTATTGTTAAAGGGGTCATATGATGCGATTTCAAGTTTTCCTTTCTCTTTGGAGTGTTACAAGCTGTTCGTGAATAGATAAGATCCCTGAAGTTGCAAAGGCTAAAGTCTCAAAACCAAAGAGATATTCTTTATCAAAGTTAAGACTCTGCCACGTCCCCCTAAAACGGCTCGTTCTAACAAGCCTCACATATCTACCTCACTATGTGGAAATATTTGCATTATGCGCCCCAAATGTTCACGCAAAGAAAGAAGGCGTGGTTTCAGTAACTGCAGTTAGTGTTGAAGCAGCCATGTCA